ATATATATCTTCATTCTGGAAACCATGCAAAGCAGTCCCCCATGCTGTAATTCCTCACTAGCATAACTGATGTCTATTATTCCACATCAGACAGTTCCCAACAAATGCAATATTCCTGTTTGAGTAACATTTGCTAAAAAATATAGTTTAACGCTAAATCTTTAAGCTACAAACTGTATGTTCAACTTCTCTAAAGATTAATGTGCCACAGATGGGGTCGTGAAAACTTATTTACAGATAGATTTGGTTCTTTTCATGGTATAATCTGTTGACCAACCCATGTATAAATGGAAATTCAGAAAACAAATTAGTTTCAAGTATTTAATTCCTGACTGGTAGGGGAGTTGTCAACATCAGCTACTAGAGATTTATTAATTCAGCTCTGCCACAAGTAAAATGTAACATTTATTAGACTTGCATGCAGAATAATAATATTTTCCAATACTTGGATGGTTAAAGGGAAAAGAAATTAATGTTTGAGTGGCATGTAAGGCCACCACAAGCACCCAGAACTATCACTTGTTTATTCAAGTTTTCCCTTGAATTTATTCATAACCTGACTATTTCTGAAGAATCTTTATTGTATTCTCTTTGCGTGGTTCTTTTTATGTCCCCTCCTTTGATTTTATCCAGTGGCTTCACTCCACCACTATGCTCTATCTTCTTTTATTGCTTTCAATCGCTGCCATCAACAAAAAGAGGCACATACAGAGCAGTAACATCCCCTCTGTTGTCATAGAAAAGCCTTGACTGTGCTCAGCAGTGTATGTGTCGCCTCTGGCCTCTTTGTAAATGTGCAGGCTTTTCAAGATTTTTCAGTTCAGCACTTTAGACAGCATTTCTTTATTCTGGCTCATCTGGTATCTGGTCTTTTGATTTGTGCAGGTCGGGTGAACCCAACATGCCTGGTGAGGAAATCTCCCTGAAGTGACACATATAGAGATGAAAACTAGAAGATGTGCTAAAAAAGGAAATGTGATTTGTATCTTCGAGGCAGCAAAGAAAATCTTTGTCAGTTTCAGTTTGGATAAACAGCTCAGACCAGTGAAGTGGGCTGCCAGTACAAAGCCTGACCACTATGGATTTCTAGGGGGCGTATACCAATATTCAGGAGGAAAAGTTTACTGATACCAATATATTGGCTGATATTTATGTAAAAATTAAATTGGAATGTTTCCTAAGATGTCCATATCAAACCCTGAATTAATACATAAATGCAAATCTTTTCTGCATTGTTTATTCTTTAAAATAATAGTTTTTATATCAGCAAACATAAAGACCAATATTGATATGTCTGTGATTTTCTCATATCGAGATTTTTTTCTTTCTTTTTCTTTTACAGCCGACCAATAAATCGGTCTGGAGCTAATGAAAATATTACATTTATAAATTGGAAAACAGTATGTTGTGAATAGTAGTTTTCCCAATGCTAAACAAGACCTTGAAATCATTTGATAACATTGTGAACATGTAACTGCACCTCAATAAGGTCAATGTGCAAATTTAACTAAAAAGAAAAGGAAAGACGAAGGGTGACATTTGTACATTTTTATTCATTCTTGAAAAAAGACTTTTTTTTACATATTTTTTCAGGGGTTGTTCACCCCAATGTTGTGCATTTTCACAGTTTTAAATATTTTCCAGAACTGACCCATTTTCAAGTATTGGTGTAAAAAGTCAAAGCTGAACAAACACACAATGCTTGAACTATATCAGAGCTGTTATTTCCAAACAAACCAAACAAAATGAGAAACAAACATATTTGCTTGTAGTATCCTATGTACCACATGTCAGGTTGTATTTCAAACACTGAATTATGTTGTATATTTTCTGAAATAAGGAGAATAGTGAGATGAATTGACCTGTGGACAATCCATTTTTTTCTTTCTGGCATAGAACTAATAATAAAAATAAGGAAATGAAAGGCAGGTGGTCCTGAGTGTGAACTAGGTTTACTGGTTTAAATAATGGTTACTGTCTCACGAGGGTTCAACCAATAAATAAAGAGCTGGAGCAAAAGTAGCAGCCCTCAGAAGAACTGTAATGTGTGGGTTTAGGAAGGGAGGGGTTCGATCGCTTGGCACAGCCGTACGAGCAGAAAACGCTACGACAAATAACATCCCATATGGCTACATTTTGCATTTGTGATATTTCTCAGGAAATTAAATGAAATTAGGCCCATCATCAAGTGCCAAGAGGTTTTTTTGAATTCACAACTTACCAACAATATTACACTGCATAGTTTTGGCGCTGTCCAATTTTGGCACTTTTGGTGCTCCGTACAGGAAAACCAATAATGTGCGGTGTTGTTTTTCTGTGGCTTTTTCAGGAAGCATATTGCATTTGTGACATTTCTCTGAATGTAAAATCATTAACGCAAAGTTGACAGACGCACACAGATGATGTTTAGTGCCCTTTTCCATCAACATCAGACGCTGCTGATTTTTCACAGGCACCCACTGTGTGACCTCAGTTCCTCTATTTCTTCTTTATAAAAAAACGTCCTTGCTGTAATTTATCACCAGGAGACACACATACATCACACCCTGTTTGTTAGCAGATAGGTGTGTTTGTGCATATGGCTTTGTAGCATGTGCTCCGACCGTCCACGTGCAGGGCTGATAAATGAGTTCAGGCTGCCAATGTGACACTGCTGTGACAATCAGATACAGCACCAGGCCTACTCCTTTCCCCTTGGGGTGTTTGTGTGTTTGTGTGTTTGTGTGTGTGTGTGTGTGTTTGTGTCCAAGCTCTATCCCTGTTTTATGACAAGGACGTACCCTGTCCTGCCTGTTTGTTTGTGTGTAAGAGAGAAAGAGAGAGAGAGATCATGACACAACAACAGTAGAAGTACATCAGTGTAACTCATCCCTTCTAAATCCCTCCAATTGGATTTAACACACAACTCACATGAAAACAAACACACACACACACACGTTTGGAGCACGGGCCACGCGTGTCAAGGTTTAATTATATTACACTTAGTCCAGCTTGGATACGATCTGTGGTGTCCATAGGTCATCTGAAGACATTACAAAGCAGTTAAGGATACAATAGTTGTTTTCTAAACGGACGTGATGAGTTGTCGACTTCACAATCACTCCACCACAACCTCAGTTTAGGACATTAGCAGCTTCAGATACGTTGCCCCCTGACATCTGCTCCTTGACCTCACGTATACCTCGCCCATGACTCCAGCTAGCCTTTGCCTTTCACAGCACAACTCGCAACTGCACGGTTCAGTCCATGTAGGGCGTGTAAGTGTGTCACTGCAGATCTAATTATGACAGTAGTCCCTTACTAGCCTGTTCTCGTCTCCCTTCACCACAGTCTGTGACTCTGCCCAGAGCACAGGGCCTCACGGTAACTTATGAACCCGGCTGCAGGAGCAGTTCCTGATGAAGCTGTGTGTGGGCTTAAAAGAGAGATCGAGCGCATGGATGGATTTGATATTTGAGCACTGGTTCAGCTGGTTGTTATTTGACTTATATAAGACATTAGTCTGAATGGAAGTCTGTGGAGCCTTTAGCCAGGGTTACAATCTGTCATTCTACTGAGCTGCCATTAGATCTATATTGGAAATCATATCACTCATGGTTGAATAGGTGTTTCAATGGTTGTCATTTTTTGTTATCTTTGCACAAATGTAAGAATGGTGTCAAACTTTTCATAAAAATAGGCATGTTCCCCAAGAATCTTTACTTATCAAAGTATTACTTTAAAGTGTGACTTTAAAGTCCTGGTAAACATACCAGCAAAATCAAGGTACTACACAGGGAAGTTACACAATAATCCTGTATTGTAATGTTGCAGAGGACAGAATATCCTAAAAAAATGCACAAAGAAATGTTTCCTGAACGGAGTTTGAAGGCTTTCTTCACTCCATAGAAGGGAGGTGTGTATACACTGATGCAGCGGCAGCAGCTTACAAATCTTTGTGAAACACACAACCACATAATACTTTGATGCATTTTTTATATTGGAGCCAAAACACAGGGAACTTTGCATAAATGTTCATAGTATCTTAAAGCAAAAACTGGACTTTAACATGAAAACCTCTAACAAAGGTTTTCATCAATAGATTTTAAAAAAAAAGTTTTTGTTTTGGATCTGAAGCCATGCTCAAAAATGAACATTTAAATGGGCAATGTTTCATTATATGTTTGTATTTAGCAGACCAGTACTGTTGTGTGTCTGTATGTGTGTTTGCGTGAATTGGCGGTAAAATAAAGAGAGACAAGCCCCACAACTGGCAGAGCAGAGAAGTGGGTCATCTACAGTATATGCCGACCGAGCAGCCGGGATCAAACTCACATGGCTCCTGTTCTGCTTTTCAGCCTCGACAACCGATAAAAAGTGAGAGAAGGAAAGAGGGGAAGAAAAGACTAGGGAGAGGAGGAATATCGGTGTAGATTAAGAGGATAAGTGCCAAAACATAGAGGCTTGAGACGCAGACATGTTTTGATTTTGATGAAAAGTTAAGTTTTACAGATTTAAAGGATGTCAACAATAATAAATATGCGTATAATTGTGAGGGAAAAAAACTTACTGCTGTTATTTCCTTTGTCTTTTTAATTTCAAGTATTAATAAACACGCTCATTGTGGTAAGAAAGAGTAACCGAGAACGGAAGGATGAAAAAGGAGAAGGGAAGGAAGTGAAGAGGGGCCCTGAGATGGAAGGATGAAGAGAAAGGACGTTGAAAGCAACAGCCGCCACTGAAGAGAATAAACTGAATGAGGTTAATTGAGTAGTGCTTTTAAGTACCTTTCGCTCAAGTTGTTATTGCACGGAAAGTTTTATGTACTCAGTGCTATTGACAAGGGTTTGCTTCACTGGTGTTTTCTGCACATAGCATCGCTTTTGCTGCGTAATTCACTTGAAACACAACTGTATAACTGCTTCTATACATATTGCTGGTTGTACTTGTTAGACAATACATTTGTCAGAGGCGGGTTATCTCCTGTCCTAAACCCACACACGCCAGCACCAACAGTCTGGAAGAGATGGGACAAATGAGCAAAATACTGCATTGCACTTAGTTTAAGGCGAAAACGTTTGCAGTGGAAAGCGATGTAAACTTAAGGCAGCATGGATTGAATGTCTTGCATGTTTTTTTTGATTTTTTAAACTACTAAAATCTATAGTCAACCAATGTATTTTGCCATGTGAAACACACAACGGCAGCAACAAACTAAATAAAATGCACTCTCTCCCAACCATAAATAAAAACACAACTGGTATTTGAATACAACGTTTGTAACTATCCATGTATGTAGCATGTGCGAAGACATGGTCATGTAAATACTATAACTTGACCCACACTCAAAAACCTTGCATTGCTTGGCTCAAACAGCCACAATATAAAAAGGTCCAAAATAAAAAACCAAGAAATATTCTCGTTTTTCATTTCTTCAATGACTTCATTTAGCACAGTGAGACCCGACCCAGTTTGAAGGTAGAATGGTTGCAGTTTGTTCACTCCAGTTTTAAAAAGTACATCCTCCTTCCCTTGTAGCATCAGCTGGTCTTTTTCTCAGAACTTTTTCTCTGCCTGGTTTTCCCTCCCTCCGTTGTTTTAAAACAGAAGAGCGAAAAGAGTAAAGAGGCGAAAATAGACGGACATTAATGTCAACGAAGGGCGACAGCAGTGAGAGCTGGTGAAGAGCAGGAACGAAACAAAAGAGAACAAAAATGAGATGATACTGTCGAAGTATCCAAGGCCAGCCTGGTCAGTGAAACGGGTCAGTATTTGGGTGGGATGACCACCATGGGGTCACCATTATTTGGCCGCCACATCAGTACCTGGGCGTCATTGGCGTTAGGCTTGACCATGGCGTTTGCGAGGATGGACTCGTTCTTGCAAAGAATCTGGGGCTGCTCTTGGATCACAGGCTCGTTCAGAACAGCCCGCTCACCCAGAGGCTTGTCCGGATCCACTGTGATGTAGAGCTGCATCCTCCAGCGGATTGTCTTCAGGACGATAGTCTCTGAGGTGGCCTGGTTGATGGCCACCAGCCATGTCGTAAAGCTCTGGTTACGGTGGATGCTGCTAAGCTGAGACACATTGCTGTCACTGACTGGCACGCTCCAGGTCACGCTGGGGTAGAAATTGTCATTCATGCTAATGGTGAACCTGCTTTCCCTCTTTGTGGGGCCGACAACAGTGAAGGTCTCTGTGGTATTACCGTACCATGGGTAGTTGACTCCATCCGAGTCACTAATGGCTTGGATCTTGCCGTCACGCAGGTCTGGGAGCTCCCAACTTGACCTGGAAGTAGAAAGGAGTCATCAGAATTGAAGCTGATAGCTATTCAGTGCTTAATGAGATTCATTAATAATTGGATCTTATCACACCTTATATTTAAGCTCTGGCAGAGTAAACCACACCAAATGATTCGTGAGGTAAAAACCACGCCTGTACAAACAGCCGAGCATTTGCATCTCAGTAATCTCCCTATTGATGTTGCTGTTGATGCATCAACACAAGACAGGCTCAAGAAGTTCATTCAAGGCCTCGCTCTTAATTCTTTCCACCAATTTTCAAACTGCTGTGAAAAAAACACAGTGCAATAATATGTTGTGACACACACAGCGGGCGACACTGAACAGATTAAGTGACCTGGTACCTACAGTCGGTCCACCTATCGATTTTCTGTCCACTGAGGGAGAGAGGTTACCTTTCATTCCCCAAAGCTGAGGACCAGCAGAGCAGAGGAGATAACAGTGTGATCACATCCACATGGCTTAGTGCCGACATGGCAATGTGATTTTTTTTTCACCTAGGGGGCGAGATTAGCAAGGCTGGCATGATTTGTGTGTGTGTGTTTGTGAATATGAAAGTGAACGTGCATGTGCATATGTACATTTTTGTTCGCAAAAAAACAAAAATCACTCAATCCTCTGAACTGATGCCTCGGAAAAACTATTTGAAACAATCAACTCTGTCACGGGCATAAACCCTTGAAAACTAAATTAAAAACACTTTTCAGATTTATTACTTATAAGCACAACTGTGCAGACAACATGGCCTCACAAGCTCATTATACTTCATCAGGAACATGTATTCATTTTCCTTATTTAGGTCATACTTTCTATCAGTCATTCAACACCGAACCACATAAATGTCAGGCAGACTGTGACCTGTTCCTGTATGTGTACTCAAACTCAAAGATTACCGTCAAAATTACCTAGTAGAAGGCGTGGGTTCCTATAAAAGGCAGAGTAGAGCATGTGCACATAGGTACACACAGGAACAATGAAGAGTCGTGGACCTGCTGAGGAACTTTGATCACAGCTTGCTTTTGCACTTCAGGGCTCACTTCCTGTTTGTGTCTTCAGTGTGTGGTTTCATGTTTGTGACGGAACCGCAGCGAATTAGTCACTTCTTTAAAAAAAATGACAGAACTTTAATGCACTATGACTCCTGAGGTCATCAGTTATCGTAAATGAAATTCTAGTACAATTTATATTGAGAAGGGGTGTAGCTACCAGGGAGGGCTGTTCTTGGAGTTCAACTAATTTGGAAAAAAATATATAAATCATTGCTTAATGAAAATGATACATGCGCACACTGAGTCAGCTGTAGCACCAGAACGTACAGGTTGCATTTGAGAGTGCATAAGGACAGAAAATCTATACTTACATTTTTTGATAGTTAAAAAAGCTTTAGTTTAAAGTAGATGATAGTGAAATAGCTTAAAGTAATGAATGCATTGTTAAAGTAGATAACTTTAAGTAACTGATGAAGAGATGAAAGACCCTGATGAAGACCTAGACTTCATTTGGTTGGTCGCTATCTTTGCTGATACTTGATAAATAAATTGATGATGTGATTTCACCTGAAGATTTTGCATCAATAAATATTGAGACTCTGTCGTACTTCTACCTGCATAACCAAAGAGCACCAGTCGGATCAGCCAGAGCCACACAGATCCCACTTATCCTTTTTTAAACAGTTGAAACTGTGAAAGTAAAGTAGCCTCATAGAGAAATACTGAAAAATCCTCTCCTGCCACCAGTAGCATGAATGCAAGTGTGACCAAATCAACCGAAACTGTAACAATATGTATTTATATGTCATAAATAGAATTACGTACCATATTTTGAAGACAGAATCAGAGGAAATTAACATATGTTGAGCATAACTGTATCTGAGTTAATCAAAAGAAGAAGTCATCCGTGGTTGCAACAGAATAATCCTTACCATAACCCATCGTAGCTCTAACTGCTGTTAAATGGTCTCATTTCACTTCTACCACATTTCGTGTTTTAGCACCTTTGCGTTTGTAGAGGAACACAGCAGACCTCATCTAATCATAACACACATCAGTGGACTACGCGTGTCGAGAGCGAACTCAACTCTTTCATCCTAAAATGAACATCAGGAATAAGTGGCCTTGATTTGCTCGTCAAATTCTGTCTTTGACTGAGGAAAAGTTTAATGAGTTTAAAATAGGGAGTATAATGATATATGAAAAACATTTTTGAGCGCATGAGCTACACTGGCAGACAAAATAATGTAAATTCAGCATGACGTGTTGTGGACGCTACAGCAAAGGTGGGTGGGTGCATTCCAACACCCCTATATCCAGTGTAGTACTATCTATATATATACTGCATCTGTTACATCCATGTTGGTTACTTCCAACTTAAGATGACTCTTCCTCTGTGTCACTGGGATTTGTCTGTATTTACTAGACACTTTGGAACACTATGGTTAGGAGTTAATGTGATCTTTACAAAAATCCCTTTAGAGCAAAAGTGATTAGTAGATAAATCGATTAGTTGATCAACAGAAAATTAATCTGTAGCAATTTGCTGGTTCCTGCTCCTTCAATTGGAGGATTTTGCGTTTCTGTTTTATATCGTAATAAACGTAATATGTTTGAGTTTTGAACTATTGGTCAAGGTATCTGAACTTGTCTCTTTGTTTTCAGGGAACCCGAGGATTTTTATAGAATGACAAACAATTAAATATTTAGAATAGTAGAACAAGTAGAATTTGAAGAAATGCATAATATTGACTAATTGTTCATTCTTCTGTTTTTATTCTGTCCACTTCATCATGTATATCTATTTAGAGTTGTGTTCAAGTATCTTGACGTATTAGACATTTATGAAAGCTTGTATGCGTCTATGGCTACAATCGACAAAAAGACACTTAAGCAACATAAAAACCAAATATTCACGATAGAGTTGTGTAACTTTGGATGAAAGAGACCGTTACTGTAAACGGTACAACTTCTTCTGACAAAAGTTATTGATCAGACCGACCTCTGAGAAAGTAACTCACTCACATTTGTGGGACCATAATGGGGTCGGGTTGCCAGGGGAGTGGAAGTGGACTGGGTCTCTAATCTAAGACGTGCAACACTTGAACATCCTCTGCTGCAGATTCTACAGATAAAGCATGAACGCTACTTGTGGAGCATTTGTAGCAACACAAATACACACACATGCAGTGTCATAAATGTATTTTAAAGCTGCATTTGTAGCAGTTTGTCTTCTTAATAACCACTGGTGCAAAAATAACCTATACATATTGACAAGCAGAGGCACAACATCCTGCTCTCGTATCTGTTTGGTTTTGAACTACTTTGTTGCCTGCAAGCAAGAAGCTATAAGCCCACATATATACTACACACAGCAGAGTGACTGATTAAATTAAAGTGCACTCACAGTCCATTTATCTTCCTTTTTTACAAATGTTATCTTCCTGGAAACAGACATTAATATGTGTAGTATTTTTAATACACAGCATAGAATGGTGCTAGACCGCTCAGATTGAACTGCAGACAAGTTTCACTACTGAAGAGGATTTTCATTTTGGAGTTATTCTTGCACTTTAGTCATAAAAACAGGAAGTTTCACAAGCAGCGAAATTACCCCAAAGAAATGTTTTCTGTTAGTGGAGTTTGGAAATCATTAACTTTAGCTGGGTTTCTTGTCCTTTGTCTAAACTGGTTAAATGTTTTATCTGCAAAGTCTAATATCAGCAACTGCTTGTCCAATTTAGTGGCCTTAATTCTTTTTTTGATAAAGCACTGGTAAGCACTGTGTCAAGAGTATTTAAATAACTAGATCAACATTAAATGGCCACGCTACTTTGGTAATCAATTCATTATTAGTAAATATGTTTTTTTTCTTATGCAAAGTCATACATGACAAAGATGCCACTCTTGCTATTATAATCTGAATTGTAGAAGAGTTGTAATATGCTGCAAATTAACCCATCAGAGCTCAAATGGCTATTTTCGTTGGTGTTGTATTTCAGTAACCAAACAAACTCTATGTTCATATCTAAATAATTCATATTCATCCCTGGGAGTCCCCACACAGTGAAAAAGAAAGAGCCCACAATACTCACATCCCTTTGTCTCCATACGTATTATAGAACTCCATGTGGTTACACGCTTGAATCCAGCCGATGGTCCACGTCTCTTGACAGGGCAAAGGCGGCACCAGGATCTGGGCGTGTGCGCGGAAAAACGGCGTTCGGTAGCGCAGGACCACGCTGTTAGACTCGTCGATGCTGGTGGGTTTGGAATCGATGGCAGTGTTCACCTCCAGGACGATGACACTGTCACGGAAACTCTTGGGCTTACACCTGATACTCTGGATGCAGCCCATCGCATTACACAGCAACACAATCCACAACAACGTCCAGCGGTCTGGAGGAGGAGGAGAAGGACGCATTGGACACAGCAAGAAGAAAATCATTTCAGTTGGATCCAGAACAGAAAAGAGGAAGAAAAGGACGAGCTCAGCGAGTCTTCGTTTTTGTAGAGTGTATGCTTTCCGGTGCGTAAAACCAACTTCACCAAACAAGCACAGATGCAAGAACTTTCCTTATCCGTGCATTGATGCTTTTATGCTGTCACGATACAAGTCACTGACTCCCACAAGTTGCTTTATCTATCGCAGAAAGGCGTGACCTTCTGGCGATCATGCATTGGAGTGGTGTGAGTAAAAGGTTTAAAGTTCAGGATAATTACGCGCTAAATAATTAACAAAAAACTACTAATGTTACATCTTGGCGTCGCGCTGCTGTTTGTGTGAGTCTGTATTACACTATGGGGCTGATCCTGAACTATATAATCTAAGGGTTAAAGCTCTACTGTTTATCCATCTGGCGACAGAAAGAAACAGACATTCATAAATCACAGCTGAGATGTGACGCTCACACAGTCTCCTTTTAATCCGCAATAGCCTCAGTTCATCACTATAAAAAAACGTGTAGTAATTTAAGGGCGTATTTTGCGTAAATGCATGTGCGGATTAAAGGTTCGTGGATTGTGATCTAACAAAAACCAACATGCATAAAAAAAAAAGAAGTCTACCTATAAAACAGTTCTGCAGAAAGTCTCCAGCAGCAGAGCGATCCGCGGCTCTCACAGCTCCTCGGTCACACAGAGAGGTTTATAATTCCTTTATCTGCTTCTCAGCCGCGCTCCTTCTGTGTCTGCCACACAATTATGATTATCTATTTCACCGTCCCGCACACGGAGGCATGCAGCCCCTCCGAGAGCGCCCACACCTAGGCGAGTTTGAGAGGGAGCACCGCAACATCCACAGGACACCGCCGCGTCAACTTCAGCGCCGACTCCACCGGTTCCATGCGTAAATGTGGGGATGAATAAAGACATGACGCCTCTGGAGGGACGGGACGGGACCGGGAAGATCAACCGGGATGAAGTCACGTAGACCCGTTGGACCCTCCCGGCGCGATAGGATGCGGTTCAGCCTAAATTCCGGCGCAGGCTGTCAGGTCTCGGTGCTCGTCCCATCGCTGCCTCGGCAGGTTCACCCCCGCTACGCATTGGTCTGTTTCAGCTGCCTGTGAAGCAGCTCTTTAAGTATCTCAGGGACGACACTTCCGCCCTGAGCCGCAAGCATTTCTGGGAGATGTAGTCTTAAGAGTTTCTGTTGGGTGCGGCAAAGCTGATCAGAAAGCAGCCCCAGAGCACGTGAGTTAGGCTTCAGTGTAAATCTTAAAATAAATGTATATTTTTACAGGAGGTGGAGAGGACTGAATTCTATTCTAACAGTTCCAAATAACAATAATACAATAGATTCATCTTTAAATGATGATGATCATGACAGTCAATCACTATACATTTTATAGTATCAGAACATGTTGTATTGTAATAACAAGATCCTATTCCTTACATGATTTAACACACAATAATATGATAAGTTACAAGTTAAATAACAAGGTAATGATAATAATATTACTTAATTTAGCACTTTTCAACACAGTACAAAGTGCTCCATGCAGAAAACTAATGGTTAAAATACAGAGGATTACCGAAGAATGACTTAATGTAATATAATAATAATGATAATAACAATAATAATTAAATCCTAATGATTTTCATTTTGTGAAAACACTTTTTATTTTATTATTTGCTTTGTTAATTAATGTCTCGTTAAAGATGGGCAGATTATTTGAGATTCTTCTTTCTGCTCCTTTTCATTAAGATTTAAGAATTTGTGTGTGCATTTAAATAGTTTTCTTTGGTCGATGAATGAAATAAACGTATATGACTGTAGTTCAACCTAATAACAATTTTCATTCAACTTTTATTTGATTTGTACCGTAGTCTGCAAAGCTGTTTCTGGGCGGGTGTGATCAGCTTTGACAAGTTGACTGATCAATTATCAATAATCAGTCTGGCAATCATAGTTTGTTCTGGGGTTTTATTTGTAATAGGCTTTCCACCACAGTTATATATATATATATATATTCATTTATTATTTCACTTGTTATCAGAGTTATTGGTTCGTTTTGTTTGGTGGGACACTGGTATCAGTTTGAATATTAGAAAGTCCTCCCTCGGTCTCCATATAACAAGAAGAATGATATGGTCTGTTTAAGCACCTTGGAGAACTCCGCTGTGCAGCAGAGCGCACCGCAGATGGTGAATCGGGACTACGTAAACTACGTAACATGCGCACGGAGCGGCCAAACGCCACACAGGCTGCGCTGCTTTGTCTTCGCCCTTCCCTGTTTTGGCTGATTGTTTACTTCTTAAGCCTGCATCGCTTTATGCGATCACCCCCTCTCCTCCTCTCCTCTCTGCCGGGATATCAGGGGTGTTATGGAGGCTGCAGGGGAGATTTAGAGTCAAGCTGTGCGCTTCGTAGCTCCTCATCCTTCTTCCCCTGGTAAGATGAAAACACCGTGTCGTGCGAATCTCTTGCACCTTCTTCTAGCCTGAGCTTGTTTTCCACAGATGCACGCTCAGTGATGCTCTTATTTTCTACGGGGCTGTGCAGCGCTGTGGCGATACAAGACGTGCATGTTGTTATTTTATCTCCATGCTGCAGATCGGGTTTCAGTGGATTGGCCGAGCTAAATGCCACTCACTGCACTCCCCCTGCCTGCACGGTATAAACAGCATGGCCAGCGCACATTCCAGTGGCTCTAAATATATCTATTAAGGCCACAGGAGGAGGAGGTGGGGGTGCTGGGAGTGTTATCCTGGGACATTTCACCGGCGTGGTCGACCCGCACCCACTTGAATTATCATCCGGAGATTGACAATCGGCTGTTGCACCCACAGAGGCGAATTTGGCACCATCCAGACATGCCCTCCACTTACAATGTGAGGTCCCGGGCGCGGGAGAGAAACAACGTCCTGAGCAGACCTGAGTTCATGTCCTTGAACCAACAGCCTCCCCGCGGCCCCGGCCCCTCTGAGAGCCGAGGCAGCGCCCGGCGACAGGGCCAAAACAAGCCGCAAGCAAGCCAGCAGAGCGAGGAACCTACCGACAGTGGCAGCAAGATGCCGGAGGAGGACTGCATGCAGCTGAACCCTTCATTCAAGGGAATCGCCATGAACTCCCTCCTCGCCATTGATATCTGTCTGTCCAAGCGCATGGGGGTGTGCGCCTACACGTCGTCCTCGTGGGGAGGCTGCCGCTCCATGGTCACCCTCTTAGCGCTCACTGGGCACGGCATCACGTGGATCATTGGCACTATCGTGTGTCTCACACGGAGTAACACTCTGGCTGGACAAGAGGTCCTGGTCAACCTGCTGCTTGGTAAATGCCACATCACACTCGCCAGTCACCAGCCTGTTCAAAACACGCACATACATCTTCCATACAACGCTCCTCCTGCGCCACGACAGTGTGCAAAAGTTTAGAGTCAGATCATTTTTGAAAGACCTGCATATGATATGGATGTGAGCTGTGTGGCCCACTTGTAAAATAGCAAATCTGGCCCAAATACCACATGCTATGCCAAACTTTGCTATGTGGGACAGTGTTCATATTAATTTTACCCACTTTTGTTCTCACCTGGAGAAACAGTCAGCTGTGCCAGTCAACTTATAAAGGTTTGGACATGCAGTCACATTAAACAAAAAACACATTAGTTTGAACACAGGGGTTTCAGCAACTTCTAAATGTTCTCAACATGCAGAGGTTTGCACAACACTTTCTGCCAAGGTATATTTTATTAAGGGCTTATACATTATAATGTATTATTGCTACATTGAGGATGACAATGGGATTCTTACATGCTCTACAAGTCATTAATAATTTTTTTATTAATTTATTTATTAAGCTAAAGCTATATAAACCCATCAGATGACCTGTTGTTTTGACACTAACACACTTTCTAATGCAAAGCAGACCTGTTAATATTTAATATGATTGACACATTATTCATATTTCTGCAGATTCTGCCCAGAACAAACGCTGCATATTCAGACAGAATGACAACACGTGTCAGTTTTGTGCAGTTAAGTCAACATTGTGTATTAAAGAAAGGAGTTTGGTATCTCACAGCTTTTCTGTCTATTAGATTTATTTTGTACTCTTTTAGAATGACAAAAAAAATCTGAGAAGCACATTTTAATTGAGTTGCATCACTGTATGGCTCATGATATTATGTTGTGCTACAAAGTTTCAGCTGCAAAACAAGATGCACTTTGATCAGCGCTCATTCATTCCGAAGCAAATGGATTTGCCAACATTTCAAGGTCCCCAAAATATGTTCAGACATGAAGCTTGTAAACAGATTTTTATTTGATAAGGTTTTTTCCCATGGGTCCATACATAACAAGCTCTTTGTTGTTGTTGATCTAGTAGTACATTGTTTTTCTCTGTCTGTGCTACATTTTTAATTCAGCATATATTACGAGGAGCATATGACACAAAGTAAAATTAGTCAGAATGATTGGGGCACTTGTGTGTGTACGTGCATGAGCGAGTGCATACTCACACACACACACACACACACACACACACACACACACACACACACACACACACACGTGCAGTCTTGACCACAGATTATTGACCAAAAAGCAGTACAAATCCTCCGGCTGTAGTCACTCTGAGCTCTGATTGGAAGCGAGTAAATCTCTGGATTTAGGACACAGTTGTATTGTGTTTGGAACATTGTTTAATTTCAACTGCTTGTTGATTATTTGTTTGTCCTGCGTATTATCAAGTCTATCAAGGTCTGTCTGGGAATACATTTTGAACAGTGTTTGAGGATTTTAAATTTAATGCTGATTGACACTCCTAGTTTGTTTTCATGTAATGGGAAAGTAATCAGCTAAGACCGGTCAGTCTGGAATTATTCAGTCTACTGTTATGACTGAATAACACTGACATAACTGGATTTCCAATATAGTGTTTGGAAAACTGTCTCGTCACACAATGACTGGGACAATAAGACAACGGAACATGTCAGAGGCACGGCACAAGCAGACCTTGACTGCAGAGGATGTTCCCACACTTATCAACTATAGTGTAGTGCAGCTTTTGTGTTTTCTGTTTTCTTCATTTGTGTGACTAAGTTCCTCCAGTGACCTAATTACTCTAATTTCAAAGAGTCAGGCTTGATATAAAATAATGCAACTCCATTCAAAGTGCAGAAGAGATTTAATCAAGTCCTGTGGATGCTTCAGGCACTGACAAAGATCAGGAAAGTCAAGATTCTGTTTGCATGACTAATCAGTCAACCTTTGCCTGAAGGAGGCCCCTAGAGTCAATTAATATATCAGCAGGATGCTCTGTGAGGATCCTCACAATCATCATTTTCTGTCCAAACCTGAGGCAAAACTAAAGCCTGAACCAGACAGGCACTGTCCGATCCCGACCGGAGCCCGATGTACTGAAGTCACTGAGTTTGTGTTACTCTGTCCCTGGATTATTTTGGTTCACTCTTGCCAGCATTGTTTGTTTGTTTTTCCTCAGTAGGCAGCTTCTTTAAATAAAAAGACTCCACAACCTCAATGTTTGCTCCCTTCCCACCATCAAATGACAAACACAAGCTGAGGAGCCAGATATTTTGATCAACTCTCATCTTTTAATTGCCATTGCCACCAGGGTGTGCAGTACCCTTGGTATGGTTAAATCAAGCTTGTTTCAAAGGATCGATTGATGGAAACTTAACTAAAAACAAATTAGAGAGTGACAAAAGGCTGCATCCTTCGAGGATGGGGTCTACCCAGTCCACAAACAAGGCAGTCTTCTAAGACATGAGATGGTCTGGTCAACAGAGGGTTTCCGTGATCAGTGTCGGCAGCTCGTTTCACCCTTATTGCTGTTTCCTAGCAACAGAGCTCAAGTGTGAATGACCCTTGGTATTTTAACATGTGTACTGTTAGCTGTTTGCATTGGACATCTCGTCGCTTGCCGGTGCCATTACCTTTTTGAAAACCTGTGGATGATAGGTTGGGCCTGGAAGAATCCACCCGTTGGAGCTTTGGTTTCTTTGGGATGGAAGGATGCATTTGTCGGACACATTTGAAGGAGGCTTCAATGAGACAGTCCAGCCGCATTGCTATGAAGACACCGGTCTTCAAATGCAGCCTCTGAAGGATGCAGCTCTTTAATTGAGACACAGCATTCCTCATTAGCTCATCCTCATTAGAGTATATAAGTTTTCATTTCATACAAGATCATCCAGTGAAATCAGACAGACCCAGTGACAGACACTTGCTGCTGTGGGAAAGAAGAAACTCTGATCAAGCGAAAAAACTAAGCAGTGTTTTACTGTTGTGCGCCATCTGAACTTATGAGAAAACAATAGGCATTGTGGGATTTCCTCTCATTGCAAGTTGATCTGGTGGAGCCAGTTATCTGTCTACACCTGTTCCACTTCTTAGAGGTGGAGATTCCATTCCCAATTTAGCAGGTTCCCGTTGATCAGTCCATCTGAGTTCAGCACCCAGGAGGTGTCTCACTGTTGGAGAGCGTTCGGCTGCTCAAATCTAACACTGTTGTTTGTGTGTGATCAATAACTGTGTTGATTGAAGGGGGGGCTGACTTCAAACGTATTATCACACTGTGCCTCCTGCAGCCGTGCTGTCTGTGTCCCAGCGCAGGATTCTTTTTTAAAACAGCTGCAAAAAAATAATACCAGTATTTTTGCTAAATTACCTCCACATTCTTGAAGACGTTGGTCATTTGATGTGTTGACGCTGCCAAACAAACTGAATCATCGCTGCTGCTGTAGTCAGCTGAAGGGCACCGCAAACAGGCTCGCAGATGATAATGTGATGTGTCATCGCTCACCTTCTGCCTCCCCTCAGGGCTTTTGGGATGTTCACTGCCACAGGGCAGCGTAGGGCTGCACCAGTCTCATTGCACGTCTGTTTTTTAAATTTTTACTGAACCTGTTCACCTCTACTTTGTTCCCTTGTCTCTTCCTTTCTTAAAAAGACAGCACCTTACCACAAGCCTGCCTTTAAGAAGCTGGAGTGGAAGTTAAAATAATGGCCCCATTGGGACGGTGCGTGGGCGAGTGGAATGAGAAGTAGGGCAGCGTAACCAATGTGTCAGACAACTGACAGTTATTTAGTGCAGGGTTGGCCGTGTGTGTGTGTGTGTGTGTGTGTGTGTGTGTGTGTGTGTGTGTGTGCGTGTGCGCGTGTTTAAGAAGATGGCAGACAAAGATGGTGATGGGTAGGATATTTTTGGGAGGGGTATGGAGCTATAAAAGGCAACTGCAAATGTCTGGTATGTCGACTCTAAGCAAATGCTACTGATGAGTTATTCTTGGTCACCAATGTATCTTTTACATATTACAACTATAGTCGCCTCACTGCATTATATAAAAAGCCCTGATCGGACCACACTGTTCCACTGTGACAGTTTGTTTCTCTTATCTTGTTCATTTCCTGTCTTTTGCTCTTATCACTTTTGTTCTGTTCAGTACTGTTTACATATTCAACAAAAAATGAAAAAGCTGCTCTGAGCTAAATGGTAACCGATGTTAACATCATGGGTGGATGCACCAAATGTCAGGAAAGTCCACCCAGCAGTTGTTGAGACATTTCAATCAAAACTATGAATGTGAGCCACATGATACGTAGTCTGCAGATTGACTCTAACTGTGGGATATATCTTCGGGGAATTTTTGATATGTTCCAGTCAAAAACTGCCCACAACTCATGTTCTGACATGCAGACGTGCTTCATTTTAATGTGTCACTAATTAGAAATTGCAATTTAACAGTAATGGGAAGGATTAGATCTGTTCTAATAAAAAAACTTATATCGTTATATACATATTTATTACTTTCTCACTTATAAACTATTTTTCAGATTCGGATTTTATATCAAAAATGGAAACACTGATAAAATAGCATATAAAACATTTTATTGTTTAAACTAGTGGTTCCTGTTTTTTTGAATATGAAAGAAATAATGTCTGCTTGGGTCCATTGTCACGTTTCAGATATCTATAAATTGTAATTGCTGAGCAGTGTAATGAAGTATTTTGATGTTGTTGTATTTTTACTTCTACTGAAGTATCTTAATGCCTCTTCCACTACAGATTGTTGGTTTTCATGATATAACTAATTTTCTCACTTTCTCTGTGACAGCCCTCATCCTTGATGTCATGACGGTGGCTGGAGTCCAGAGACTGGTGAAGCGCAGGGGTCCTTGGGAGATGACGCCAGGATTCATGGACTGCATCGCCATGGACCTCTACTCCTTCCCGGCGGCTCACGCCAGCCGAGCCGCTATGGTCTCTAAGTTTCTGCTGTCCCACCTGGTGCTGGCTGTGCCGCTTCGCATCCTGCTGGTGCTGTGGGCCTTCCTGGTGGGCATATCGCGGGTGCTGCTAGGGAAGCACCACCTCACCGACATGGTGTGCGGCTTTGCGCTGGGCCTGCTCCACTTCAGCCTGATGGAGACGGTGTGGCTGTCATCAAGCACCTGCCAGGCTCTCATTTCAATAAGCACATTCAGCTGGAGCCCTTTTTTCTGAGCTCCTGATAAAAAGCTATGCTTGCACGCTAGGCATATTTGATACACTAACCCTGCTATATAAAGGACCTCTGTAGGTTTTCTAAATTATTTTTCTAAGGGTCTGAGGTTGCAGGCTGTGAACAGGGAAGCATTAATATCTGGATGCACATGCTGGCTTGCATGTAACGCCAAAGACAGGCAGGTGACACATAATGCTTCACAGACCCTGGTATCTCCAGTCAGGCCTCTACTGCTTCTTCATAGTAAAGGGAAAAATAAGACGACTGCAAACTGACAATAAGATTAACACGAAGTTTTAAGAATTTTTCTTCAATTTAAATCTTTGATTCTCATACAGTATGAAAGCTGGTACCATTCATGTATAACTGAACCTCTTGACTCAGTCAGTTCTGTTTAAAGTTTCTGTGCCTCCTTCTCTTCACGCTCTTACTTCTCTTTTCTTCTACTCTGTTACCTCTTCCTCTTTTCTCTAAGTATTAAGGGTTTTGTGCTTTCATTTTAGGTTAGTGAAATACTTGCATCATATTAAACCCTGAATAGAGTTTGGTGTAGGGCTGTTACAATGGATGTGACACTAGAATATATGAAGTGATTGTTGTTGGATATTCCATAATGTTTCTAATTGGCATGACTTAAGATATTTGTGTATTTCTGATGGGATTCCTGATCTTTTTACTGTATGTTCATCAAATATTAAGTAATTTTTTTGCTTTTAACTAATTTCACATAATTAAAGTTTTTTTACTGGGTCAAATATTATTTCCGTCATAGCTAAAGTGTTCTTTAATGAGTTGAAATCTTTTTTTTTTTTTTTTTTCTTTGCAGTCTGCACGTCAGCCTCACAGATGTTTTTGGTTTGACAGCGACCATGTAAGTGATTCTATGCCCCAATAAACAACTCAAGCGTGAACACTATGTGTGCGCGGATGCAAAGCATCTGTTTGAAGAGCAGTTTTTAAGAAATGTTGCCTTTTTTTTCAAAATGTGTTTTTATAGACATTTGAAGTACACCTGCTTTTTTTCTTAGTATTTCAGTGCAGTGGTTTGGTGTGTAAATACTGTACAATAGTTCCGTTTGTTGTGTACAGCGATCTATATTTCATGTTCTAAATTAGTTTCTTTTCCATCTTAATAATAAAATGAGGTGGCCTGTCAGTCAAATGTGGACGCATTATATTCAACACTGAAATTTGGAACATCTCTACCAAACATAAATCCATCTATTATCTTGTTCTGTTGAGGTGGGAGAGGGGGCTGGAGTCTGTCCCACTGCCTATCACAGGTCCAACATACAGAGACAAACGACTATTCATATTTATGAATAGCCATTTACAACACCTCTCTGCCAACCAGAATGAGGGAAACACTTAAAAACTAATTTAAAAAGCACAAAAGAAGCGTTTGTAGACACATGTTTTTAAAAAGTCCAACAATGTGCTCTTTGGCATGTGGGTGGTTAATTTTGATACAAAAAGAAATAAACCACTATCTGTGAAAAATTAAAAAGCCTTTATCAGAGTGGCTTGGGAAAGGTAAAAAATGGTCACCCTGATGAACACTTTGGGCATTTTTTTATCTTTAATTCTTCTACAGCAAGAGTGCCTTGTCTTATATCAACACTTAATCATAAGTAGATGAATTAGGCTTTGGAATCAGCTTAAACCTATAAGAGGCATAACTGTAGAGTTAAAAAGCAGCTTTCTCCGGTAAACTGTTAAACTCTTACTTCCAGTTAATTTGAATGTTGAGTCATTTTTTGGTTTAATTAAATGAAATAAATGCATTCTGATCACGCATGGCATCAGAATACACATTCTAGATAAGTTAAGAAGCTATACACTGAGCAGAGTATACACAGCGTAACGGATTAAATGAGTCAAACCTGAGTTCACTCGAACTCGGTGGTTTGTTACTGTCAGATACAGTTTCAGTTTAAGCCTCACGGTTGCCTGGTAACTGAACTACTTTGACTCTAAGACGAACTTTCTAAGTGATAGAGATTTGATCTAGGCAGCAAACAGCGCATGTATTTTATTGCAACAGTATTTTGCAATGGCCTCTCAGACTTGTTGACTCCAATAAGATTCATTATCATTGAAGCTGCGTGTCTTCACAGCCTCTGCTTTCCTGTCACACTACTCTGACCACAGGCAATTTGACAGGAAACAGCACCTGTGCAATGGTGTGTGTGTGTGCCCTAAAATTCTCTGGCTGAGAGAGTCTGATGTTAAGAATTTTAATAACTTTCGCTGAATTTTCTATAGTCATTTCGTATGCGTTCCCTGGCTATGCACAGTTAATGATCAGAATACATTGTATCGAATATCTGAGGAACATTAGGACCAAGTTCCTCTGTCGTCATATTTTTAAAAGTTTGAATAAAGTGGGGCAGGGACAGTGAAGGGTTTCCCTTTACTTTTTGCATGTGAAAATACACACTTGACAAACTTTATCCTAGAAATCAAACACCATTGATATCAAGAACTATGCCATTGTACTTTATATTTAAGGACTTTTGCCTCTGTTTTCTCAAGATGAAATAAAACTTGATTAATCCTAACTCTGAACTCTGTGTTTTCATCATGACCAAGTCACAGGTTCTTAGATGATGATTTGTCTCCGATTGCAAAACATGAGAGGCATCACAGTTTGTTAAAAGCTCCACGTTTGTTTGACTCTTGCACCACAATCAAGGCCTCCGCAGCCGCTGCAAAACATGTCCCCAAAATATCCCTGTGAGTAAGTGCTGATAGTGCTCGCAGGCCTGTTTCCTCATGCACTTATTTAAGAGACACCACACTTCCCTCTGTTGTGTCTTTCTGCTCCATTTGTGGCATTCTCTAAGCTACATATAAAATATACAAGAGGTAACATTAGACATCACAACTACAGGTGCCACTGAGCTCTGTCTCTGCTGTAGGTATGAGCTCTGTTCCTGTTACAATGCCCAACCCCTTAATCAGGGTGAGAACAAGATGTGTAAAATGTCAGCCAGGCTCATGAAAGCATGTGCACTAAATAGCTGCATGACAATGATATAAAAGTTAACAAAGTTATGTCACTAACTACACACTTTCACTGTCATCTTCTTTAATAACCCTCAATGCATTTTCTTACATGATTCTTATAATAACATCATGATTATTTTGTGTTCCATCTGTTAATTGTAAATATGACTGTTTTTCTTACACGTTTTAAAGATATTTGCACAAAAAATGAATGACTGTCTCTAATATAAAAAAAGAAAGAAACATGCACCAGTAGCTGGTGTTGGATCAGTGACATGCAGAAACCATTGGAGAGGATGGAAGAACGGTTGAAGAAGAGCGAGACGAGTGCTCCCTCTAGAGGAGTTTGCTCGATCACGCCCCGGGACTCCAGGAACAAGGCTTGACTGAAATCATCATGAAATCTGGCAAAGTTATTATATTTGTATTTGTAGGAGGAGATGTGGGGATTGAAAAACTTTAGAACATAACCTTATATTGTAACTAAGGATGTTTGTCTCTGTTCCTCGATTTTCCTTTTCTGCATCTAGCTATCCATCCATCTATCCATACATCCAT